GAAATTGACGGGGAAGATTTGACTCTCTCGGTTGTGTATGACTGGAAACCGTCCAAATGTGAGGGTTGTGGCTCCCTTGTTCACCCTTTCGCTCTCTGTCCAAAAAACCCCACTCCTAAGCCATCTCTACCTTTTAAACCAGGGTTTAGGGGTAGGAGCAAGAGTCGAAATCCATCTAAAATTCCCAGGCAGCCTTCCCGTGGCCCTTTGTCTGCTCCTCTTAATCCTCCTTTGATTACTGGCTCTGGTTCCCTGGCTGAACCTCGTATTAATTCTGAGATTGTTGTATCTCCTAAGGAGGTGGAGGATATCCAGCCCCCTACTTCAACCTCTAAACTTCCTCCTGGGATTGCTGTTGCTCCTGTGGAGGTGGTTATTGCCCAACCCCCCCTTCCCCTACTAAACATCTCCCCTCTGATGCTATTTTGTCCAACCATCTCCTACCCAACCTCAACCTCCCACAGTCGGATTCTTCTTCCTCCTCGATTCACAGTAAACTTCTTAAGTTTACGCCGCCTCAGGTTACTCTTGCAAATAGTTTTGGTTCTCTTCCGGTGGAGGATCCTTTAGTGGAGCCCTCTCTTGAGGACAACCAAAATGGTATTTGTGTGGAGGAAGATTCTTCCTCCTCTCCCATTATTGTCAAGGATGTCCCGTCTCCTAAGACCACTACCACTTCCAAAGATTCCCCTCCTACTTCTTCCTCCTCCAAGATGACGGTGGGAACTAAATCCCCTCCCAAGAAGGGGAAAGCCAAAGCCAAGACGGCCAAGAAGGCCAAACCACACAAATAACTATGTCCTTGCCACCTATTGCTGCCTGGAATGTCCGGGGATTTAACAATCCTATTAAAGTCAAATTTTGCAAAGATCTCATTGCAGTCCACAATATTAAGCTGATTTGTGTTTTGGAAGCTAAGATTAGCCGTTCCTCTGTTTCTGACTCTTGGTTTACTTTCTCTCACTCCTTGTTTGAGAATGAAATCTGCTGTGATAATTTTGGCCATTCTACACCTGGTAGAATTTGGGTCAAATGGGATGCTGCTCAGATGTCTTACACCCCGTCTTTTTCTTCCTCTCAACTCATTCACGGTCTGGTCTGTGTTGGTTCCATGCCTCCTTTTTACATGTCTGTGGTATATGCTGCTAATACGATTGAGGAAAGGAAAGTTTTATGGAAAGATCTTCTTGATCCTTCCTCAAATTTGGATATGCCATGGATTGTCATGGGAGATTTTAACTGCTTTAGGTTCGCTGGTGAAAAAGCTGGAGGTATTCCCTTGAACAATGAGAGATTGGGAGAACTTAACAGTTTTATGTTTGAATCTGGTCTCCAGGACCTTGCTTCGGTGGGGCTTTTTTACACTTGGTTTAATCAAAGGAGTGATTCTCCTATTCATATCAAACTGGACAGAATGTTGGTCAATTCCGCCTTTTTGGATGCTTTCCCTTCTGCATTCTATAAGGTGGACTCTTTCTCGGGATCTGATCATACTCCACTGATTCTTAATGCTGCTCTTTTCACAAAATCTGTTTCTAGATTTATGTTTAAAGATTTTTGGACAAAGTTTGATGATTTTTGGGAGCTGACTCAAAGGGCTTTTGAGAGGCCTATGTCTGCTAGCCCCATTGCTCATTTCTATGATTGCTTGAGGGATCTCAAAGGTAATATCCATAGAAGAAGCTGGAACTCTTCCAATTTCATTTCTAATTGCATTCTTGAGCTTAAAAATTCTCATGCGGCTTGTATTTCTGATCTTCAAAGAGATCCTTTAAACCCTACATTTAACTTGAATTTTAAATCTACTTGTGATAAGTTAGCTCTTTTCCAATCTGCTTGGTACTCTTGGATTTCTCAAAGAGCTAAAGCCTATTGGCTTTCTCAAGGGGAGGATGATCTTGGATTTCTATATGCCAAGATCAAATCTAGGAAGAATAGGAATGTTATTAAAGAGCTTTCTTCTCCCAATGGGTTACTATCTTCTCATGCTGACATGGCAGTGGCTCTTATTAATCATTTTAAGACCCTCTTCAATGCTCCCACCCCGATCTTGGAAAATTCCTATAACATTCCGGTTGGTAAGATGATTCCTGTCCACCTTATTGACAGTCTTGTGGCCCAGGTTACTGATGCGGAAATTAAAAGGGTGGTGTTTGCGGGGGTTGCTTCTTCAGCGCCGGGCCCTGATGGTTTTTCATTTGCTTTCTATCAGAAAACTTGGCATCTTTCTGGCTTTAGTTTATGCAGGGCAGTTAAACATTTCTTCTCCTCTGGTGGGATGCCTAAAGGTGCCAAAGCCACTGCCATTACTCTGATTCCTAAGGGTACTCATTCCAACTCCATTTCTGATTTTCGTCCTATCTCTTTATGCAATGTGTTCTATAAAATTATTGCTAAGATTTTAGCTAATAGATTGAAAGCTATTCTTCCCTTCATCATCCATGAGAGCCAATCTGGTTTCATTGCTAAGAGATGTTCTACGGACAATATTATTCTTGCTTCCGAGTTGTTAAGAGAATTTAAAGGTCATAAAAAAATTTTTTGTGCTAAGCTTGATATAAAAAAAGCCTTCGACTCTGTTTCTCGCACCTTCTTGATTAACAGGCTCAAGCAGAAGGGGTTTCCTGATATTTTCATTTCATGGATTAAGGGCTGCATTTGTGACGTCTTCTTCTCCATTTGTCTGAATGGTTCATTGGAGGGTTTTTTCAAGTCATCTTCGGGTCTGAGGCAAGGCTGCCCTCTTTCCCCCCTCCTTTTCTGCATTGTCATGGATGCCTTATCTTCCATTTTGGATCTCACGGAGCATAGTTCTTTTTCTGGAATACATAATCATAACTTCAGTATTAGCCATCTTATGTATGCAGATGACCTTTTGGTTTTTGGTGCTGCTTCTGTGGAAAATGCTAGATCTCTTAAGGAGGCTCTCCTCTACTTCTCTAAGGCTTCTGGACTGATCATTAATCCTACCAAAAGCAGCATTCTTTTTTCCAAGAATTCCACTCATGATCAGCTTATTTCGGCCTGCCTTGGTATTTCTCAAGTGGACTGCAATATAACTTATTTGGGGATCCCTATCTCCATTCACAGTCTTAAATTTCAGCACTTCCAACCGCTTTTGAGTAGAATTTATACCCTTCTTGAGGGTTGGAAAGTCAAATTTCTCTCTTTTGCTGGCCGGGTGCAATACCTTAAGTTTACTATAGCTAGCACTATTGCGTACTGGATCAGGGGAGCGATTATACCAAAAGCTTGTTCTAAATTAATTTCTAGAATTTGCTCAAGATTTCTTTTCTTTGGGAATGTTTTGGATAAGAAAATGCATCTTATTTCTTGGAGGTCTATTACCAAGCCGAAAATTAAAGGGGGGCTGGGGCTGTCTTCTTTTGACTCTCTTTATCACAATATGGTTTGCTCCTTTATTTTCAGGATGTATAACAATGCAACTTTAATTGGCTCTTGGTTTAGGGAGAAATTTGACTCCCTTTGGAAGCCACCCCCTATTATTGCCTCTAAATTCTGGAAACTTTTTTGCAAAACTGTTGCTACCATTAGACCGGCTGTTTCTTTCTCGATTCACAGTAACTGTAACCTTTCTTTCTTATGGGATCCTTGTTGAAATAATGGCAAGGTTGCTGATCTGACTGAGGCCAACAGAAATTCCCATCTCTGGGTTAAGGACTTTATTTCACATAGCCGTTGGGTGCTACCTGTTTCTTTACCTGGGCTGGTGAAAGACACTATTAGTAATACTGTTATTATTGGGGATGGGCCGGTGCTTTCCTGGTCTAGCTGTCCCAATCCCTCTAACAAAATTTTCTCTGCTTTTTACCATTCTAACTTGGAGAATGTCCCGTGGTTTAAATTCATTTGGCATAAAGGCTTTGCCTTACGTTATGCCTCTTATTCTTGGATGGCTGTTAAAGGTAAACTTAAAATGGTGGATATTCTCATTTCTAGGGGGATTGCGGTGACCCCCTCCTGCTCTTTCTGCATGGGCAACTTTGAATCGCATTCGCACGTGTTTTTTGAATGTGATTACTCTTTCATTTTGCTTACTGCTCTTTTTCCGGATATGGTGAATTTTTACTTGAGGCCTAATATTATTCAAGTTTTTGATCATTTTGGGACCATTCGAAAGTACTCTAATGCAGATAAGAATTTTTGTTATTTTACGGTGGCTGTTTTGGTGTATTACCTGTGGAGAGAAAGAAACAATAGACGGTTTTCTGGTGTTTGGAGGAATCCTGTTTAACTTAAAAGAGTCATTTTGCAAGCTATTTGTGCTAAAGTTAGGAATTGGAATCATTATGACTTGCTTAAGGAAAATTTTGGGCAAATTCTGGACTGATCCTCTGTGTGTGGTTGGCTGGCAATTTTTTTGGATGGCTGATGGTTTCTTTCCCAGTTTTATTTTGATCCCATATTGGGATGTTTTGGCCGGATGTGCGCCTTAGGTTCTTTTTTCTGGCAATTTTTGGCATCCTAGCTGTGATCCCCGATCTCCTGGAGCTCTGGTGGTTTTTCTCCCCCGATCTCTTCATTTGCTGCTTCGTTTGGATGCTTGTAGAAATGGGACGATGATGTGTCAGATCTACATCTTCATGCATCCTTAGATGGTCTTATGGCAACCAGGAATGCTTTATTTGGGCACTGCGATGGCCCTTCATTCGGTTATGGTGGGCAACCGGTGCCTATCTGCTGCTTCGTGGATTACCGTTTGTGCTTGGCGTTGATGCCTTTGATGTAGATCAATTTTCCCGAGTCTTTTTATTTCTGCATTTCTTCTTTTCATTGTTTTCTTTACTTCCATTGATGGTATAGGTTTTCTATACTTGTAATTGCTTTACTTGTAACTTTTGGTGATTAATTGGAAGGGCCTTGCCCCCATTTTTCCCCAAAAAAAAAAAAAAACATTATCATTTTTTCTTAATATTTAATAGATTTTTATATGCATACCAAACATAATTAATTAATGCAGGCTCTAACCGTACTGTAGGAGGGGAAAAAAACTGACAGGTCTAGTGGCTACCCAGTAAATCACGCAAATATTCGTCAACTTTTACTCCGGTGGAGGAAACGATGACGGGAGCCAAGGGAAACGCGATCCGCTGGTTCCGAGGGAATTTAGAAGCCAGTGACGACGGACGATCAGTAGAAGCAGACAACTAGAGAACAAATAGTGACAGGGAAGGACCGGAGCAGGTTGGAAACTTCGTTCTCCTCCAAACTTGTGAAAACCCTCTAATGGTTCCTGATGATGGAATTATAATGAAACTAGCTGTTTTAGTAAGAGTATAAAGTGCAGTTTTTCAGCTGCCTTTTTGGTTCCGTGGCTCTGTTTCCGCTCCGGCGAAGCGCTCACTGTGTCTGGGTTGCTGGCTATGGGTGCATGCCGGAAGCTGACAGTGGTGGTGAGCGGGATTGTGGAGTCGGAAGGGAAGAGGAGGGGGCGAGGGCTAAGGACTATGCAGGCGGTAGGGCTTCTTGTCGGGGGAGTTAGGTCGATTGGAGCTACGGAATCACGAAAGCTGCGTTGGACTTCATAAACGCTTGAAGTTATTGCGATTGATGTTGAGTTATTGAGCCAGTGTTTTAGTCTCAGTTGTTTGTGCTGCTCTTTGTTCAATTGGAAGGATGGGCTTTGAGCTGAGGGAGGCGCTGAGGCGACTTTGCGTCGATATTGGGTGGTCGTATGCTGTCTTCTGGAGGGCGGTCGGCTTTCCAAGTCCAAAGTAAATTACAGTTTAGTGTTTTCTTGTTTTTTTTTTTTCTCTTCTTCTGATTTTGGTTCGCTTCTTCTCATCTGATTGGTTGTTATGGTATTACTTGGGTAGAGCTAAGGTTATGTCGGATGGTCTCGGGCCTTTTTTGTTGTTTTGTTGCTGTTTGTTCTTGACTTTTATGGTAGTTCTGATGGAGGCCGCTGGAATCCTCTTTTGGACCATTTGTTTGGGTTTTTTTAGATGTTGAGTCTGTTCTGCGAATCTGAATTCAGTTAAAATCTGATAATTACTCTCTTGTTTGCCTGCACCTTTTTTGGTAATCGTCTTTTTTGGGGAATAGTTATGAACTATTTTACTTGCTTTTTTAACATGCTTCTGTTAATTTGAGGCTTTTCATCTTTATTTGGAGCTTGTTTTGATTCCTCCAAGGAGATATCGGCATTTTTTGTTTCTAACTTGGACCCTTGTGTACTCTGTCTCTTGGTTGGGTCTTGCAGGCATTTGGTCTGGGATGATGGACATTGGCATGGAAAGGTGCAGCTTTCAACAAGTGATGATGTGAATTCTCATGTTAATTCTTTAACCGAAGTCACCGAATTTCAATCATCAGGACTGTGCAGCATAGATGAGCTGGTTAAGAAGACCATGGTACCACAGGTCCATGTTATAGGAGTTGGGTGTGTAAATTGTTCTTCTTGCCACTAAGATCTGAAAATTTCTACCATTTTGTTAATTATCTTAATTGTTATCATTTGTGAAACTATGATGTTAATGTGCTCATTTGTTGTTGTTGTTTTAAAATTGTTTATGTTCGTAGCTAATATAGTGTTATCTTACAGGATAGTCGGGCAAGCTGCCTATACAGGAAACCATCTTTGGATTCTTAGAAATATTACCGGTGACAATGAATCCTCATTTCAGGTATAACTTTGGTTTAACAAAGTTTTTTAAAAGAATGGTTTTGAGTTTAAATTTTTTGTAGAAGGATAGGTTTCAAAAGTTCTTTTCAAGGTTACTGATACATCGTCAAAAATTATCTTGATCGGGCACAAATCTGAAATCCGATTTCAGCAAACTTATAGTTAAACAGAGTGTCTCGAGAATACGAATCCAACGACACCAAATCCAACCCAATCTGAGCCCAAATGGGTCCAAATCAAGGGTTAGAAGCGCTGTTGGAAGATTCAAGCAACAATTTGGATTACCAAACGGTTTCCAAATATAACATGCTTATTGTCGAATCGAGCGGCTCGACGAGACGAATCCAACGAGCCCAAGATCACTAAATTCCGACATCACTAAGACATTCAAATGTCCATCAAACAGTTCATGATCAAGGAATTCAACATTGGCCGTCCATCCAACCCTCCCCATTTAGCCTTGATCTCTCACCTATTTACAGGTCATATCTCTCCAAAAATCTATAAATAGACCTCTCATTTATCTTGAAAAGGGATCCAATCAAGAAGAGAAGAGAAAGAAGAGAAGGAAGAAGCTCCTCCTCGACCACCGTCTGAGTTCGCCGGACCACCGCTCGAGTTCGTCGGACCACCACCTGAGGCCCTCACCTTCGCCGGACCACCGCCTGAGGCCCTCGCCTTCGCCGGGTCACGGCTTGAGGTCATCGCCTGTGCCGGACAACCGCCTGAGGCCCTCGCCTTCTCCGGACCACCACCTGAGGCCCTCGCCTTCGTCGGACCACCGCCTGAGGCCCTCACCTTCGTCGGACCACCGCATGAGGCCCTCGCCTTTGCCGGACCACCGCCTGAGGCTCTCGCCTTTGCCGGACCACCGCCTGAGGCTCTCGCCTTCGCCGGATCACCGCCTTAGGTCCTCACCCTTGCCAGATCCTCGCCTAAGGGCCTGAACTCCGCCAGACCAACACTTGAGGTCCTATACTTCGCCAGACCATCAAGCCATAATTCTGCCAAGTCACTGTCGGACTACTAACTGACGGCTCAACTTCCAAGTGACGCCATATTTTACACTAGACTTCAACCATACGATTGACATTTGTAATCTGATCGTCCTCTGGGATGAGCCAAACCACTGTAATCAACTCAAATTCTAGTGAAATTTTTTCAACTGGGCCAGGCCTCGTGGTTTTTCCCCTTTCCAGGGTTTTCCACGTAAAAAATCTTGTGTTCTCTGTGTGTGAGCTGGATATCTGTGCAATGCTAAGACGTAAAATTACAACTCTATCGCTGCGTATATTCTAGCCCGCAACAGTTACAAGTGGCGATCATCCCTTGGAATGGTTTGTTTGTGTTGTTGGATGTTTTTCTTCTTTAAATTTTCATTTAAATTGTCATTTGTTATATCATGAATTGATCTTAATAAATTGATTTTGCTAGATATAGTGCTTGCTATTGGGTAATTTATTTGTTTTTTGTAATGTTTATTAGAAGTTTTAAAAATTTTAATGCTTCTTTTGCTTACTTATGGATGTTCTTGTTATGCATACGTAAGTTATATTTAATTCTATTGTCAATTGGTATGCATTTCAATCATATTAATTCGACTATGTTTATGTATTCTGCAGCATTTTACTGATGTAAATAACGAATTTTTGGCTGGAATTCAGGTTAGAAAGCTTACTGCAATTTTTTTTTTACTCATTGTAGATTTTTTTATGGTCAATTCATTGTCTTGTTTATTTTTCTTTCCAGACAATTGTTGTCATTCCAGTATTCCCTCATGGTGTCGTGCAATTAGGTTCGACTATTAGTGTATGTATTCACTTATACTTTTTCATAGTCCGAGAATTATTTCATTCATCATAAGCAAATAAAGGGCTGCAATCATGCAATTTTTGCCTTATTGTTGTCCAATTCTGTTGAGGCATTGTTACTGAACCAAGCAAAACAAACACTAGAATTGTTTCTTAAACCACTCGTTTCATGATATCACTTTTATGATAAGACAAATAGACACATCACTTTAAGTTTGATTTAGGTGTATATATTTTTAACAATTAAAAGAGCATTTTTACCAATTTAGTTTTCCCAATATACGTTTCATGTTCATTGTCATGTCCACTAGAAAAAAAAAAAAAAACTTTGAGCATGTTGTTTTATAAAGTAATTTGCTTCCATTTGAATTTTAAAATTGTGCATTGAAAATTGAGAAAGGTAGTAGCATGTTTATATTTGAAAAGTTACATGAAACTTACTGTGTTTTTTTTTTTTTTTTTTGGAACATTGCCTCCACAGATTTTTCTTTAAAAGCCTAGTTTCCTTAGTGCCAAATACTTTTCCACTCTTTTGTTGGAATGGTTGGTTATAGTTTCTATGATTACCAAAATTATGGCGATTACTTGGATTGAGGATGAAAATTACCTTGATTTCATGATCTTACTTGGACAAAGAATGGCGCTATGCTTGCCTAAATTACCACATTCTTACTTGCACTGAAAATGGAAACAGGAGCAAAAACTACAGTGCCATACTTCCTCTTAACAGCATTCTGATACGCCTTAGGTTTCACTAATTAGGGTTTGCCCTAATTTTCCTTCAAGGATGAAGTTTCTCCACCAAATCAAAGTTAACTCAAAACAAGAAGAATGAGAGGAAGAACAAAAGAGCTTTGCATTAATCTTCAAGACAAAACAAAAGACAAAGCTAGTCCACTTCGAGAAGGACCAAATCTCCCAAAAGAAACCCTAGAGAAAACAAGAAGGAAAAGAGAAAGAACTTTCTTCACATGATGCCCCAAAATAAACCCTAATGGCTCCTTTCATACCATCTCACAACTTCCCCCTCATCCCTAAATTACCCCCCATTATCCACCCTCCATTTTTCCCCCAAAACTTGGCCTCCCCCCTTGATGCCCAAGGATTTAAGTAAGTGGGCCCCAAGGGCCCACCGTGACCCTCTCCCTTTTCTCCTCAGGTTCGGCCGCCCCCTCCTTTGGCTCACTCGGACCGAACGCCCCCCTCCACCGCCTCCTGTAGACCCGCAAGGGTCTCGGGTCCATCAATACCGCCCTCTAGAAGATCAACTTTGTCCTCAAGGTTGAAGTCTGGAAATTGCTCCTGCATGACCTCATACATCTCCCAAGTAGCCTCATGCGTCGGAAGGTCCTTCCACTCGATGAGTACCTCCCTCTTGCCTTGATCATTCTTCCTTCTTTCACCTGTAGTGGCTTTAATAAGAATTGCATATCTCATGTGAGGCCCCGTGGTATGGTAGGAGTGGCCATGATGTTCTCCCCTATGCTCTTCTTCAATAGTGACACATGGAAAACAGGGTGGATGGAGGATTGAGGTGGTAACTTGAGGCGGTAGGCCACCATCCCCACTTTCCTTTCGATCTCGAAAGGCCCGTAGTATCGTGGGGAGAGCTTCTCACTTCTTCTGTTAGCCACAGTCTTCTGTCGGTAAGGCCGCAGCTTTAGGTACACCATTTCTCCCACCTCAAATGTCACTTCCTTGCGATGCGAATCTGCCTTGGTCTTCATGATCTGCTGGGCTCGCAATAGGTGCTCCCTCAATTCTTCCAACACTCTATCCCTCTCCTCTAATCTCAAGTATTTGACCTATCTAGATAGATCGGAGTCGTCCCTTCTGATAATTTTCACCAATGGTGTGTGAATCCCTCCCTAAAGAACTTGAATAGGTGTATTATACTGAAGATGGCGGTATGGTAGCAAGTATTGTATCCATATTCCTCCCATAGGTACCATTTATGCCCACTGCTTATAGTGCCCGTCCCCAACGAAGCATCTCAAACAATCTCCCACGCTGCCGGTTCAACTTCAAAGCCTTTTTTCTGTCGGATTGTCCGTGCTGTCTGTGGGTGGTGATGGTTCTGTACTCCTCTTCAAGTAGGTGCCTGCATTGCTTGAAAAGCTCCTTCCAAAATGAACTCTGATACTTTGTCTCTATCCGAGAGCAATCAGAAGGGGGATCTCGCATGCAATCGTGACAAGCCACCTCATCTGATGAAATTTAGTACAGGTACAAATCAGTAGGAGCTAGAAAAAAGGGATGCCGTAGAGGAATGAAAGGCTATACTTACTCAGTACGATCCACCTACCACCATGATGACATATATCCCTTCGACTTGGGTAAGGTCCCCTTCGATGATAACCATGGTGACTTCTTCCCAAACTCTTGTTTGGAAAAGCACCAATGGGCTGCATGTAAGATCCCACTAGGGGCACAAGCTTGATACTTGTTCTATGGTTGACACATGTTCAACTACTTACCATGGTCCTCAACATCTACCTTTCGTTCACCCTTCCATGAAAATATCGGGTTCCTTCACAGTCCGCCGATTAGTCTTCTCCACGCGCCTGCAATGTCCACTCCAACCCGGTCTGCGTTGGTTTTACTTTTCTTGTTTCTTCGTAGAAGTATATGGGACGAATCTTTGAGTTTCAATCGGCTTTGTTATTGTACTAGCTAAAATAAAATATGAGAGTTTCCTTGGTGATACTCTTTGAAACCCTCCTTCGCCCTTTCTCTGGTATTTCTCTTTGCCACCGATAAGGTTCGTCTCTAACGTCCTGCCGCCTGTTGATTTCCTTCACCAGTCTCCCCATTTCAACCAATTGTGGGACAATTACGATGAGTTTTGGGCCTCATCAGTGCTGTGAGTTCACTCATCGCGGGAAAGGTGCATTCTGCCGCCATTTGTTTTGGGTTCCGGGCTTGTACTCGTGAATCCTCAAGACTCAATCCCAAGACTGCTTAGCCACCTCTGATGTTCTTGCTATTATCTCTGCTCTTATGATATGGTAACTTTGACGACTTACCGCTGATTCCGTACGCGGACATGAATCGTTTGCCATTACCCATTATAAGATACGGGCCCCGTCATTTTTTGAATAGCAATCACAATGGCATTAGTTTCCCGGCTCATTTAACGATTTCAGCCTTGCCTCTATTGTGAATAGATCCTGCTGAGGAAGGCAATCGTCCTATGCGATTCGCAGAGAACTGCTCCCTCGGACCCACTCCTGAACGTCAGTCCTCCACCACAAAGCTGTTGGGTTGAAATCTTGGGAGTGTAGCACTAGGAGGCATCTAGTTCATGGCTTCCTTCAGAGTCTTCATGGCTATCCCTCTGCTTCTCTCCCTATTGAACAGTTGTTCTCTTTTTTCTGATCAATCTTAAGTGACCTGTTATGGAACCTATTAACCTTCTTGATAAAACGCTCCTGTTATGTAGCCAGTCAGTTCCTAATAAATCCCTCGTAGGCCTTTTAAGGTTTGTGATTTTGGTGTATTTGGTTCTCACTTCTTAATCATTGCTCTTCTTATCGTTGGTGGTGGCGTCATTGCAGCTTACTTATCCGTACTTTCGTGAAATGATATGTCCCAGATACTTGCTCTATCCTCCTTTCTGGAGTCGCAATTTTTAGAGAACAATCACTTTCTTTCTTGTTGCGTTCAGTATTTATTTCTGTATGCTTCTCTCTTTTTTGCAGTTCCACTTGTAAGGTGCTTGTAGTACGCTATCCCTCATAGGTGGGTTTTTTTTTTCGACGATGGTCCTATGTCATTGGAGACTTGTCTATAATCGGGTATCCAATATTATTCTATAAAAAAAAAACTAAAACATAACTATACTCAAGTAGAGGCTTTCGAAGACCTGATTCATACAGTGGCTTTGAATAGTGGTAGTGTGTATTTGCCTGTTATTGAGTTACCCGAACGCATCACCTAAAAAACTCATAATGACATTTCTGATTTTTTGTTTTGTGTTCCGAAATGTCTGTCTTTTCTGAATGTCCTTTCGAGTCTTGCGATCCTAATCTGGTTGATTGAACCAGATTTTCAAGTCCACCTTGAGAAGAAGTGGCCCTCCCAAGTATGTTTCATACAAAAGTTCTCGTCTACTACAGGAATATTTGGAAACTTTGTCACAATTTTCATTTTGACATGTTCCTTGTTGAGTGCTTTCGGTAGTCTTACCACATTGAATGGCTCCAACTACCATTCTTGAATCCTCTTCATGAAGATTTTATCCTTTTTTTGTGGGCTGGAAAATTGGGCTTCACATCTAGCTGGTATCACCTGTAGCCTCCAACATTTCTCCTGTCTACTAACCTCGTCAATTCTTCTTTTCTTTCTGACTTTGCACTTTGGAGTGATAATCTGTTAGGGTCGCACACTGATTGGTTGCCACCCAATATATTAATCTCTTTTGCCTTCTATCCACAATTATCATCCTATGCTCTCATAGATCTGAAAGGGGTTATTCCCTTTAGGCTATTCTGAATTACTGATTTATTTTTTTTTTTCTGTGGTATGTTGTCTGTCTGTTGTATGTGGAAGATGTTCCTGAACACACTCTGGTATGACTTATGTTCTCCTTTTCGGTCTGTCTCCTGTCCTATCTTGTTGTGGCTCTATTCTCAGGTATAGTCCCTCTCGCTTTCATTGCTCTCAAAGGTTTCTGCGAGATGGACTTTTTAATATTAGGCCATCTCGGTGGTTCCCCCTGCAATGAAGCTTGCGGGTCTCCTGTAGTGTCACTTGTCCGTTACTCTCTGGGCTCTCCCTTTTCCTCATACCTCCATGTTATAACTTTTCGTTTCCAGTTTTATGCCTTCATCTCTTCCCAAGGAATCTTGGAGCCATCTTGCATTCCCCAGTTATTTCACACGTCAGTTGCCTTCCCAATATTCTAACATGTAGTATAAGTCCTGTAATTTCTATTCCTCCCTTTGTAATGTGGAGGGTCATCTTTCCGCTGTTACATCTGCCCGTCTACAGCGTTCTCCTTCCTTCCCGTGTCCCGAATCGACTCTCGACATCCCTTCGCCCTTGGGTCACACAATTACGATCCCCTTCACCCTATTCACTCAATTTTGTTCTGCAAGCTTGAATGTTGTGTAGTGGCCCACTATTCAATCAGTTATCCAACCCTTGCGAACCTGCTATATCTCTCCTTCTAGCTTCATGTGAATGTGATGGTTCAATTCCGGGGGCTTAATGGAGTTGAGTGAAATTCCTCCATTCCATATTGCGAAATGAGGTATGCTCTTTTTCCTGGTCGCTCGCCCTCTTGTGGCCTCTCAGTTGCTGGCTGCACCTCTTCTGTTGCTCCTGCCTCTTGAATCCTCCATTAGGTGATATCTAGTGAGAGGGTTCTTCTTCGCTTACGCCTTAACCTGCCGGTAGTTTTTCCGTGTAAACTTCTCATCACAAAACATCGATAGCAAAGCAGCCTTGGCCCTTTTTTCCTTCAGCTCTGAATCAGTCAACCATTTTGAACCCTCCTTGGTTCACTGCCCATAAGTGGGTTTTTCTTCTCTTATTTGGCTCTCTCTAGGAGGAAGGATGGTCCGTCGCCCTTGGGCCTCCACCATGAGGGGTGGTCGGTAAGTGGGGTAAGACCCCCTGATCTCCTCGGTGGCTCCACTTCAGCTTGGTGTCCTCTACAAGCTGTGCCGTCATCCATGATCCTAACTAGCTGGCATGTGTGGGAGCGACTACTCTATGATGGCTGCGTCTGATGTGAGCTTCAGCCCCTCACTGAAAACTCCCTTCATTACGAAGGTCATCTTGAAATTCCTCTTCATCTGTCTATAGTAGCCTCAAAGTGCTTCTCTATACTCCTGCCACTGTGGCCTCTCGCACTATGAGCCACCCAACTGCTCATAAGTGTGTGCCCGTCGCTGGAATCCAACCCTGAATCTGTGCATAGGAGGTCTTTAACTCCTCCAACTTCTAACATGTTTTCGTTCCCCCTTCAAGCCAGTTGAAACCTAAGGAGCCCAATGCTTCCCCTCCCAAAACAAACCGGGATGCCATCAACTCTTGCTTCCTCTTCCGTGACACCACTCCGCAAAGTAGCGCTCCCCCCTGTAATTCCCATCCATAAGCATCCTCCCCTTCAAATAGGGATCTCAATTTCCTCATGGCGGTTGTCCAGCTCGTGGAACAGGTTCTTTCTCCATCTCCCCAAGTCCCCTGAGTTAAAGCCCTCCCCTTGTGCGCCTTAACCCCTTCCGCTCACGAGTACAAGATTTTGAAGCCCTCTCCATGTGGGGTTCTCTTGGCTCTCCATAGCCCATCGCGTAAGAGCCACCACTGCTCATAAGTGTGTGCCTTCGCTGGACACACCCTGAAGTCTGTGCAGTAGGAGGTCTTTGAACTCGCTCCCGCAACTTCTAACATGTTTGTCTCCTTCAAGCCATTGAAACCCAGCCACACGCGGAAAGACTACGTCACCAGTAGACAGATCGATACTGACAATTATCTGTGGCCACAACCCTCTAGTGTGACCAGTGGCAAAAATCCCTCTGATGATCCAAATCTTACTGATCATCATTACGGCTTCAGTGTGTTCGAGATAAACTAGATGTTTGTGGTATTTACGAGTTCTGCCTGCAAGTACCTATTGTGCTCAGTGCCAATGCCTTCCCCTCCAAACATTACCGGACTCGGCCATATCAACTTCTTTCCTCTACCGTGAGCACCACTCACTGCAAAGTAGCGCTCCACCGTACGATCCATCCATAAGCATCCTCTCCCTCAAAAAATAGGGACTTCATTTCCTCATGCGGTTGTCAGCTCGGTGGAAGGTAATTTCTATCTCCCCAAGTCCGCTGAGTAAAACCCTCCCCTTGTGCCTTCCTTCTCTCCACCGGGTAAGGTTTTTGAAGCGCCCCTCCAGGGGTTCTCTTAGGCTCTCCATAGCCCATGCCGTATCTTTACCCTTCTTCCTCCCTGCTGCCATGTGGCACGAGTTTCCTTCCGGAAACCCACCGGCGGATCGTGATTCGGCACCCTTACACGGTGTGCCGTGGGGTCCCCCCCAGCACCATGTATAGGCGCCGTGTTCCCCTCCTCCCCTTGGACCATCGGTCATTCCCCAAGGGCCACCTACTACCCTTGACCGACTTCTTCCTCTCTTTCACCGTTGGCTATTGCCCTTTGCATGCCATCTTCGCTTGATTATCTCTTCTTCCCTAATTGGAAAATTCAGGGGTTTTAGGGTTTTGGTTCGTCATGCAGAGATGTTCCCTTTTTCTTTAGGGTTTGAATGAAACAGACTTGCTTCTAACAATTTTCGGATCAATCTCTTCCATCCCTCCCCATAAAATCTTTCTTCTAGGGATGAAAATTTTTCCCTCCAATCGTGATAATTTCTCAACACACCTCCTCTTTCAAATTGGCTCCACTCTCCTCCAAACTTCTAACCTTTCCTTTGACGCCATGCCTTCTAGGAATCAAGAGCTCTGATACAAATTTGATAACGCCTTAAGGTTTC